CGTGTAGTATATTAATAAATACTGGTTAAACAAGGCTGATATACCGTGTAGTATATTAATAAATACTGGTAAAACAAGGCTGATATACCGTGTAGTATATTAATAAATACTGGTAAAACAAGGCTGATATACCGTGTAGTATATCTTTATAAATACTGGTAAAACAAGGCTGATATACCGTGTAGTATATTAAGAAATACTGGTACAACAAGGCTGATATACCGTGTAGTATATTATTAAATACTGGTAAAACAAGGCTGATATACCGTGTAGTATATCAATAAATACTGGTAAAACAAGGCTGATATATCGTGTAGTATGTTTAGAAGTACGATATTTTACCCTTGGGTACATGAATATACTTGCCGAATGAAATGAAATTTGAACAACAGTAATGGAACTTCAAGGCAATCACGTATTTTGACTAAAACTAATTTTCATATCACCAATGCAATAATGTTTTTGGTATTTTCACGGTCAATATGCAAATGAACATGGTATTGACGATTGGCCTTAAAATCACTTTTGTGTGTGATTTCCAGTGTTTTCACGTATAAATTCTTCTGTGAGTTTTGCCTTGGCCGATTTCGCTCAAACTTAGCAGAAAGGTCACACCTTCAACCTAGTTATTAGGAAACATCTGGAAAAAAATTAGCCCACCGTTGCCATAGCAACAGCAATAAAATGATTTTTGGATAGCTTCGCGCTAAATGTATCTCCTGCTACAGATTGAGGACCTCAAACATAGCTCATTCTACTCACCTTGAGTGTGGGCACAAAGTTACTATATGTAAAATCTGAAAACAAATTCTGACCACCATTTCCATGGCAACAGCCTAAAACTGATTTTTCGAATAACTTCACGCCAAATGTATTTCTATGATAAAAAAGCACGGACGTAGCTCATTCTCAGCTTGAGTGTGTGTGTGCAACAATTTATTGTTTTTTTGTCTATTTTCATTACCGAGAAAATTTACCCCAACGTTTGGGTAACTTTTCACCAGCCACGGCTTTTAACTCCTCTGGGATTTTTTGGGCTTGGCTAATTTTGTTCATACTTGACAGGCAGGTCGTACCGTCACTAATTGGAACAACAATCCTGGCCCACAGCTACCTTGGCAAGAGCCAAAATCTGTTTTTTGAATACTTTCGTTCCAAATTTATTACCTCCTACCAGTCTTGTAATGTTCAAATGATCATGCCTTTTATTTTGGCTACGTTGCACGCCGGTAACAGATCACCGGCGCCGACATTGTTACACTGTATCAAAGTAATCTCAACGCAACTTTGAACTTTGAAAGAAATGTAAATGCTGTCTCCAATCTACAAAATACTATCGCAAAACGGTTGGAAATAATAAATTTAACGGCAGGATACGTGCTAGCAATAATATAAAGTGACTTCTAAAGACTGAATGTTCTTTTTGCGAACTTCATATACGGTGCCCGGTTTTAGCTATAAACCAACGTTAGCTTCACGTTCATGTCCTACATTGGGAACAGCAGATAACATATTGCGTGTTTTTTGAGCTGAGCGGATCGCCAACCAGTCTACCGGCTTGTTTTCATTGGCAGCGAATACCATTGAGGCGCGACCATCAACATCAAAGTATCAGGAGGTTTCTGCTGGCGACGTTGCGACGTTACTCATTTCCGAATAAAGATTACCAATGCTAAATGAGCAACATTTTAACCGGTAATCAAGATTCATTTAATCCACGACTATCAAGCAACATCACAAGCGAAGTTGTAGCGTGCAGCTCAGCGACGACTGCTATCGACGCAAGTCATCCCGTCAGTGGAGTACCCAGTAGCACGGCAAGTTTCCCTTCACCATTGTATTCAAACGAATCACGTGGTGTGCCGTTCTCATTCAAACCCGGGATTTGATCAATAGGGGAGTTTCAGTAAAAAAAAACATCGCAATGAAATCATGCAAGTTCAACATTTTCAAACCAGGATACTAAAACAGAAATGCTCAGCGATGTAAAAAAAAAAGATACTACTTTTCACTATACACATCTCTGTTGATACTATCCCTCACATATTCTACTCCCAATTACTCCTGCGTAAAATGGACTAGTCTCTTTTCATGTTGACATTCAGAGTAAAATTAAACTATTCGACTCTGCCGTTAAAAAATAGGGATGTTTTCAGCAAAAAAATAATAACCCTGGAATGCACGCAACACACTGAATTTCGGAACAAATTTTGTATTATTTACAGCAGCAGAATACCACAGAAATATCAGACGAAACATGAAAACACTATATATTGTATTTCAGCCTGAACCCTCTATATTGCAATTCCAGGAATTAGCCCCATATATGCATCCATTTCCACCTTGGTATCACCCACCCCTGAAAACAAACTCTTAATACCACGCTGAAGCGTTTGGTAACAGGACTGATAAACGAGACATGTAGACTAAATGTGGGTATATGTTCATACAATGCTGCATGCGTGGCGCATATACCCCCCGTCATCTGATATGGCTCAACCCTTGATGCAAAAGTTCAGATTCAGACATTATTAATTGCCCTACGATAATTTACGTCTGATATTATTTATATTACTGAGATGGTTGTCTGAAAGAATTAATAAAATGGTTCACGTAAACAGTGAAGCAAGCTGTTGAATCAAACCCAGCTTCGAGAGTATTCTCGTGTAGTATATCTCTATAAAAAAAAAACAATTTAAGAGAACATAGCAAGTGAACAACGTACACAGTTTCTAGAAAATGAATGCTCATAAAGTATTATTGCTTTCTTTGGTTAAAAACTTAGTTTTATTGCGTGTGTTCTCTGAAGGGTCGGGACCAAAATTTGTGGCGACTTTAATGCCTTCAACTGAATAAGATGAATCTTATTGTTTGAACCCAAATTCCTAATAGGACCATTACTGTCTCATTCATGGCCATACAATGTCTCGGGGTTATTCTCACCGATACATGTCTTTAGGCAGGGGTTGATATGTGCTGCGGCAATATCATCAATATTCACAACTTTTAAAAGACACCCTGCGAATTCTATGTAACTTGACCAACTAACGAGTGAAACTGAATGTAAACAACACTAAATCTGCTATTATCTATTTGCTTCAGTGAACAGGCTAAGGTCATGGCTAGTCTGTGCCTGTGAATAAAATCAGACACCATTAAGCGACCGTTGTGTTATGATGCAGTTTCTATAGGTTGGATTATTATGCGCTGTGTTAGGACAAGGTTATATCCGTTATAACACTGCATCTATCAGTTTAGACGCCTCTGTCTCGATGTACTTTAGATAAATGTGTAACTTTGTGAGAGTTCGAGCATTTCAATCACTTTCTGGAATATTGATGGCATGGTCACTGTGATCAAGGGAGAGGTCAAAATGGGTTTACTCGGGGAGACACCGAGATATTTGGAATAACGTGTGGATTGACATTTACTGGATCCTGTTTATTGTAAACATTACCCGCACATTCGGCACACTTGACAAATGACATGGGTGGCGTGTGTTTATTATAACATTCTGTTGTAATAGTCGTTCATGACTCTTAATATAAACAGCGTCTGCTTTGATTTCTTTTTTATCCGACAATTTCTACTTTTGCTCGATCTATATAGCGTTTGTAGCACAAAGACTATCTATAATTACCAGTCGTATTTGACTTCACCGCGACTATCGAAGCATTCAGCAAAGGACGCCCATGTCGTACAAAGAGGGTATATTTATGGCAATCATTGACAGTTCCGCACTGATTCACTTTACATGTAAAGGGGTCACTAGCTTGGCGTGTGTTGCGTTCACATGCGAAACAAGTAAACTTCTGGAAGATTTTTGCGGGAAAGTCACAATCCTCGTAGAACATGATCGCCGTAAATATCCATCTGAACTACAATGTTTGTTAGCGAGGTCAAAGGTCATGGCGAGTAATTTGAAGAATGCTCAGGCGGTGTAATGGGAAAGTTTCTCGTCGCCAAAAAAAATCAGGACACACACGGTTACCTAAACAACGTCATTTGATCTCGGGATTGGGGTCAAACGGTCAAGTTGGAATGCGATGCAAACACTGTGGACGTATATTGAAACAGGGACGAATGTTGAGATCAAAAACGATCTATCTCTGTCAGCGCATTGTTTTTTTCTCTAGCAAGGCGACGATCATTGGTTTCAAAGCATAAGTAAAACTCATGAAGTTGTTTCAACTTTACAACACAATATGTGGAAAGTCCTAAACCAGTCTGTTAAACAAATACCCTGGTTTCAGAGTTCTTGAACTTGAACTTGCATTTCATGTAGCTTGATATACGATCGTGTCAATTTCACAGGTCCGAACGAGCGAATCGAGGGGAATGTACGCTTGTTATCAAAGCACGTGCAAGTTCATTGGTTGCTATTTATACCACGTATGAATTGTATGACGTCACGACGATATATGAACTTCCACGAGGTCGTGTATTACTTACAGGAGTTGTTGACAACTGACGGGAGATGACAAAAACATAAAATATGTTATACATGGTTCAATTTCACGCTTTATATTTTCAATATTTTAGCAATATCATATATTTGAAATTTGAAGAACTATGATCATGAAATAGGAACAAAACACATAGGTCGGATTGTAAACTGAATCCAACTGGATCAACCCCGGTTTGTTTCCGCATTGGGACGTCCCTAGATGTTTTACAGTGACAGGCTTAGCGGTGGTTATTATACATATAGAGCGTGTCAACGATTACTTGTTGGCGGAGTATCGTTGGTGTAGCAGTCGAGTGGGTATCCGGCCCCACTACTGAACGCTTTATGGTCTCATTTATAGCAGCTGGCCCATGGTTTGGTGTACACATCTGCCGCAAATAATGGGCGATAGTTATACCTGTTTACCACGTGATAAAATTCAGCACGTAGTCATTGTGTTTAAATTGAAGACCAAGTTAGTTAAGTACCTGCACAGCCAACCAGTGCAGTATTCTAGATAAATTGTACAGCCAATATGAACGCAATCGTCGACGCTATTGCTACAAGTCTCTTGGTTTTGTCATTGGTAAATACAGCGCAAACTGATGTATTTACGGCTATTAGCCATCTCGAGGACAGCGTGAGAGTGGAAGTGGAACTAGTTTCTGCTCTCAGAGATTACATTTCTGCTGAAGAGCGAAGATTGGATAAGCTAAGACGGTGAGTGAAACCCTGTTGAATACAGTATATATATTTGCAGTATCCGCCTATAGTTAATTTGAAAAACTCGAACTCACACAATATTATAAATTAAAGTTATGCCACACTGACATAAAGTCTATCAACGGTATTCCCTATGTAATGTATATGTAAGACCACACCATGTGTCAACTTTCAAATCATATGTTACATGCAAACTGGCATTCAGTTGTTAGGCAACGAGTGACATATACCTTGTTCAAATCGATCAACACTGATTCTAATTATTAACTAACATAAGTACACCCTTAAAACAACCGATTACGTGCTTGAATTACGCCTTTGTAAACTGCGTCAAATTCTGTTTTTAAAGTTCTGTAGTTACTGGGTGTTTGATAAAACTTGTTTCAAAATTGTGGACTAATAACACAGGACATCCTACTGTCGACGTTTTGTCGCGTATGAAACGAAGACAGCAGCTGTTTAGATTGAATATGTCGAAGGATGGTTTCCATATTGGTGATAGATAATCAGTGTACGTTCTCGCATCTTTATTTGATTTGCATGATTCCCAGCATATAGTGTATATGAGATAAATCATCAAGAATGCAAGAAACAGACCCCACAGCTCGTTAAATACGCCACTGTATACGATAAATTGTGTATAGTGTAGGTTGAACTTAGTCCGTGTACTCTAGCCTTGTCTTAGCTTTAACAGACAGTATGGAATGATGTATGGCCCAAACTGGGGTCTAATTATCAGTTCAGTCGCTAACCCAAATCACTGTTGTCTAGAAAGAGTGTTTTTACAACATACCTTCAATACATGAGCATTATTACGTATTGATAGCCTATAAATATGAACACAAGGATATGGATTTAAGGAGCCAGTGTATAATACATGTAAAACTATTCACAGGTTTGCCGATGAATCAGAGGAACTGACCAATAAAGCACTAGAAAACGTTGACGATTTCCTGGCCAACCCAGTCAATGCATTTATGCTGGTGAAACGATTATATATTGAATGGAACGAAGTAATAAACAGCACTAAATCACTGATTAATTACGGAGGTAGGTAGTACAATAAATAAGATGTCAGACACACTACGCTGAACATCAATGGCAACTTTGCATTCAGTTTATTTCAACAATTGCTTGCGTTTCTAATTACCCGTGGCTGTTGTATGTGTTTAATTTTTCACAATTGCACAATAGTCGGGTTTTTATTTATGGAATAATGTCACTCACAGCACGATTCAACTACATTTGTTCGCAGTACATTGCGCCTTCAATTGGCCACACTTGGCCACGGCCCATATAAAAGGCAGTATTGAACAATATATTGTTGAAGGCACTGTCCACCAGTAGCTGTAAACGTCACACTGGTAATGCTAAGAAATTAACGAGAATGCAAAGATACCGCAGTTAAAGGTTGGGTGATTATTTCAATTGCATAGTGCCAGAGGTCAAATTATATTGTTGTTTAACATTCATACAGTACTGATACACGGCGGAAGCGCTCAAGCGAGGAATGGAACCGAGGCTTGGTTCAATGCCGATTGCGTTCATTTTCAGCTTGGTGTTCAAGGTCTACAAGAACGTCGCGCTGACATTGCTCAATATTTCCGTTAACTAAAGTAATATTTAGAAACGTAGTTTCTTGCGAATTCTGAATTGTTTTCATCACAGTAACGACATTTGTTACAAAACATTGAATAATGTGGATCATATTTGATTGGCGGTGCACCGAGCTCAATAGAATACGATAGAAGTTCCCACATATAAGACTTTATTGAACTGATAAATAATAAATAAACACATTTGAAAAATAAACATCAGATACCAATGGACATAGTGATTTTGTTTTTATATGATTGTTTAGACTTGGCAATAAACGTATCGAAACATAGAGCGAACATTCCGACAGAATCCGATTTACAAGGGGCCGCTCAGGCTTTACTTCGATTGCAAGATGTCTACAAACTGCGCCCCAGTGATATAATTAGTGGGAACATACATGGATTCCAAACAAGGCCACTGACCTGGCAGGACTGTTTTGATCTTGGTAAAGCTGCGTACAGAAAGAGGGATCATTACCACGTAGATATTTGGATGAACGAAGCTCTCAAGAAGTGGAAAGTCAATGAGGAAAGAAGCGAACATCGAAGTGATTTAAGTATTGTACAAGTGTTGGATTATCTTGCGTTTTCACATTATCGGGTATGTCCTCGCCATATTGTGATATTGTTTATATACACCAGTATTTGTAATGCGCGTGTTTTACATGGGTTACATCATGTGTTACGTCATCATATCACTGACGCGTCACTCTATATACGCGTCATTCGATATAAAATTATATCCACATTCATCTGTCCATCAATTGAATGGTGGAGGTAAATGTTGATTTTTGTAGACATTATTGTATTTATAATCAGTATAGTACCAGAATAACTTCTTATTTTGATAATATAATAATGCATAAACAGAACAACGCCCGCGCCTCATTCTCGAAAAAATATGTCCCGCTTGAGAGCTGAATATATTACTAATTAGACCAGCTATCATTGGTTTTCTGTTTCACTGTTACAACTGAATTGTACAGAAACACAAAATTTCCAACATCATTTGCCGAAAAGTCAAACCATGTATTATAAGAGAGTTAATTCGATTCTTTAAGATAGCGGTGTTGTTTGATTGGTCTTCTATGAACACGTTGCAACTGAAATAACAGTTGAGCACTTAATCATCGAGATTCTAGCGCTCTTGAGATTACTGCTCATATGTCCACATTTTCTCTGTCTGTATACACGTCATGTGGTTTAATGCCGATATTATGTTATTTTTAACTCAATCCGACGATAATACACATGCTGCACCAGTTCAGATAAAATAAATGTGCCGATTATCTGAGTGTATTTCAACAACCTTATCGCGAACGTGTTTGGCGTGCGTTCGTTAAAGAATTATGGAGAGGGCAGATGGTCTACAAACAACATTTGTACGTGTTGCCTGTAAATAATATAAACTAGGAGATCCGATTTAGATAATTAGAATTAGTTCCGCTACTTGAATGTTCAAACGTTTTCTCTCATTTATAAACACCATAGGCGATCAGTTATAGTATTTTTAAAACAATGTACGTACTCTTAATTGAACTAGCGACAGGGAAAACAACTTGAAGAGTTGATGATCGGTTGTGATTCAGATATTCTCTAAAAGTTACTAAGCATGCTACTATAACAACCTATATATGCATTTGAAAGTTTAGATATAGTTGAATACCGTAGTGTATATGCGGTGCTAATGTGGGCGATGCCGTGGAGTATCTGCTGTTCAACTAATCCGACCGTGTTTAACACTATCGCTCACGCGATGGATCTGAGAATTGCACAAGACATTGGAAACGCTGTGGGCTGTGGCTGTTTTCGTTCTTAGCTACGGCCAAATAACTACAGACATACTATTGGTCGCGAAGACCTATGTTACATTAAATTTATATAAATTATAACCCACATTTATATATTAGATAGTAAAACCGAATACTGTATTTGAATACGACGGACATATACACTCCTTAGTCTCATGGGCCAATTATAACACACACCGTATGATCAATATAAAACACAATCAACTCATATTTTG